AGGTTACGTTGCAAGGTTGATTTTTTTGAAGACCTGTCTGTTTGAGGAAGGCCCAGTGGGTGGCTCTGATTTCCCCCACAGGTCTCCTCACTCCTGGAGCTCCTGATGGATGTTCCTCTTGGGCCCTGCCCTCTGCCCAGGCCCTGGCAGAGCACTGTGTCGCTCTGTTCCAGTCTTGTGCTGAGTCTCCTCCAAAGGTCTCATGGTTTTGCTTTTGGGAAGCTGCTGCTCTGCTGTGGCCAGGGTAAGGCCCTCAGCCAGCAGAATTTTTCCACCAGGAGATTCCTGAGATGCAGCTAAGTCGACATCCTGTCACGGACTATGCTGGAGCCAGCAGAGAGAGAGAAACCAGGTGTTTGAGGCAGCGCAAGCTGCGCGCAGGAGCTAGCGAAGGAAGCGGCCCTGCAGCTGTAACAGCAGGGTGGTGAGATGCAGCCTGAGCTCAAGGTTGGCAGGACCTTCGTACAGGAGCAGGATCTGCGGCAAGGAGCGCAGGAGCGCCAGCCGAGCGAGCAGGAAGGGAGCCCAGAGCGCGGCCGGGCAGCAGAGGGGGCTCAGCAGGCTCTCCTCCCCCAGCTGCGCGGCGCTGTCGGGCCCCGCGTTGCCCAGGTTGACTCTGCAAGTGGCTGCAAGCAGCAGCCACGGGCTATAGTCCTTCCCCGTCCGTGTGTCCTGAGCCCGGGTGCTTGGCCCCGTTGCAGAGCTTGATGCTGTGTCGCCCCTTGCCTAATTCAGCTCTCACTAAATGAGCTTCTCAGAGGGGCAAATGACCTTGATTTCACACCTCAACCAGGGCTTTTTGCTGTCTCGGAGATGCTGCGCCAGGTTTGCGCTCCGGAGATGTGAGGAGCCTTTGCTGTGGAGGGTGGAGTTGCAGGTGAACCTGTAGCATGCATAAAATGGGCAGAAACCTGCCTGCAGCAATCTCGATCCTGTTTTATGGATGGAGGAGAAAACGGCGCTTGGCTTTGATGGGTTCCGCAGGGCACGTTCAGGAGTCCGGTTCCGTCAGTCTGGGTGAGGACAGGAGATGTCAGGCGTTCAGTTCCCTCCACAATTCATCAGGGTGATACTCTGGGATCTGCAGCAGTAACCGGGCTGGCTGGTAGTGCAAGAAATTTGGAAGTGGGGATGCTTTTCCCTTAGCATTAATGACCTTCCCATGAAACTGGACTTTGGGAGCTGCTAGCCTCAGACTAGGCCGTCGCTGGCAAGGTTCGTGCGAGGGGGTGGTTGTGAGGAGGTGGTGCAGAGCAGGAGGCTGCTGCTCAGCAGTTCTTCAGGCAGGAGCCCATCACAAGAACTGATGTGCAGGTAATTCAGGATTCTCCATCATCAGGAGTCCAGGGAGTGGAGCTTGAGAGTTTCGAAGTAGCCAAATGATTTGTGGCAGGCACGTTGCTTCAAAGCTTAGCTGATTGTCTTGGGCCATAAATTGGATGCTTGAGAAGCAAGAAAATCTCCTTGATCTGGAATTTCAATTTGGGATGTGAAGTGACTTTTAAGCTTCATTCTGGTGCTCAGTAAGTCTTTGGTTTGGCTGTGATGCTAGATATTCATTCTCTGACATTGATGAGGGTAGATTTTGGAATATTTCTTTGAGTCATATGAACACATGCGTGCAGGCTGAGCTATCAGGTTTACTTTCTCCTGGACACAGGCTGTCACAGTGTGACCTTAGGAGAGTTCGGGCTTTTGGAGACCTCCGAGAGCAGCCCTGGCCCCAGTTTCCTGCTCCGGGTGACCCAAGGCACTTGCTAGTGTAGATTGTTTTGTTTGATAGCAGGCAAGGCTGTATCCTCACAAACCTGGTGTTTTATACAATAAGCTGGGTATCTGGAAACAAATTTGGAGAAATCCTTTGTAAAATACAGGTAAAAGCTGGAAAAGCCCAGAGAAATGTTGATTGCCATTAGAGTTGTCTGTTCCTTGCTAATATATCTTTCTGTCCAAGTCCATTTTAATCTCTCTGGAGCCAATGAAGAAAATTTATCTCCCTGTTATCCAAGGAGATAAATATATAGATATATATTTATCTTCTGCTGCTTTCTGAGGTATCTGAGCGTCGCAGACACAGCCAGGGTGGTGAGGAGTGCCGAGCCCGCTGGTGCACTTCGTGCCTGGAGCACAGGCTTCCAAGCCCTGAGGCTCCAGGGAGGGGATTGGGATTTTTTTGCTGCTGGCCATGGGCCGATCAGGCATTCCCATCTCAGCTGTGCTGCAGGCTCCGAGTGCTGGAGCGCTCCAGTGTTTTTTTGGCCCGGGAATCAGTAGCAAGGAAACAGCGCAGACTCCGTTACTCTGTAAACAGGAGGGCAGACTTTATAAACACAGTCTCTGCCGGCATCATCGCCTCTTCCTTGTCAGCGCCTGTCCCAGCGCCAAGCAGGCCAGTGCGGGGACTTTGTGCTAACTCTCCCTGCTGTTTGATTCCAGGCCCAAGAGCGAATACTCCGAGATCGATGAAGAAGATGCTCAGGCTCCCTATGATCCTAATGGGAAGCCAGAGAGGTAGGAACCTGACCGTGATCCTGCTGCTGGAAAACAGGGCGGTGCTGCAGGGCCCATCCCTCTGACTTTTGCTGATGTGTGTCAGATACTCTGCTTGCCAAGCCAGGGAGCTGGTGTTCCCTGAGGAGCAGAGCAGGAGTTAGAGTTAATGGGTGAAATGCCCCGGACTGGCAGGTTTTCCCCTCTGGGAAATGCCAGACTATTCTGAGTTCATGTTCATAAGCAAAGCGGTGGGTGGAATGCGAGGCTTGGGCAGGAGGTGGCCCGGGACATCCGCGGGGACGCTGATGTCATCAGCACGTGCGGTATTTGTCCCCCGAGCGGGTCTTTCATGCCCTGGTGACTCATGGCACCCCCTACTCCCACGGCCTCTGTGGCACCTGCGGTGTAGCTGCCCTGGCGCGCGGCCCTGTGCTGCCTTGCAGTGTCTGGGGAGGGAAGACCTCAGCAGTGCCCTTAGCTGAGTCGCACGCGCTGGCCCGGCTGCCGTGTGGGTCTGCAGCTCTGGCAGAGGAGCGAGGCTGCCTGCTCGGGAGGTCAGCGATGCTGAGCAGCTCCCAGGGGATCCCCCTGGGTCGCAGTGGGCTGGGACGGCGCTGCAGGTGCTCTCTGCTCTTTGCACCTCCTTGCAGAGCAGGCGGTGACTTTCCCGCCCTCCTCAGGTTTTACTACAACGTGGAGTCCTGCGGTTCTCTTCGCCCGGAGACCATCGTCCTGTCTGCGCTCTCTGGCCTCAAGAAGAAACTGAGCGACCTCCAGACCCAGCTGAGCCACGAGATTCAGAGCGACGTCCTCACTATAAACTGAGGTGGCCCCTTGGCAGGAGACTGTCCAGGCAGGGGTGATGCAGAAGGTTCCTGCCTCTGCCTGGCAGCAGCCTGGGCAAAGCTGCACCTGCCTGGCCTGAGGCTTTTGCCTCCCTGTCTCCTTCTGTCCTTCCTGACCTGGCTCTGCTGCTCAGCAACACCCCTTCCCTTACGCTCCCTCTCAAATAAGAGGGATCAATAGACAGGCCATCAAGACCTGTATGGTAAAGTGGGAAAAGAATTTCTGGGTATTGTAAATGTCTCTGCTGGCCTTGTAGTTTTTCCCCTGTGTGATCCTGGTGTTTTAGCCCAGGGTTTTGGACTCTGGTCATGCGGCTTTAGGAAGTGGGAAGCACATCCCTTGGTTACACGCTCCTGTCCTGTATGTATGCCTATTCCTCACAGTGCCGAATAAAACCTTACCCCCTATGTTCAGTCATCCCTGAAAGCTCGTCCGGGGCTGCAGAAAGAGATGTCACATCATTTACTTCTCTCCAGTAGACATTAACTTAATGAGATCTGCCTTGGAGGGGGCATCGCTCTCTGCTGCTGATTGCTGCTCTTGACGTTGTCTCCTGAGGAGACTGAAACCCTGGAGTCAGGAGCCCTGGTGCTCTGGATCCAGGGCTGTCTTTGAAGCACATGCTTGAAGCTGGGCTGGGCAGCGAGATGCTGCAGGGGAGTCCAGCCGCGCCAGGGCGCTTAGCTGTGTTTAAAGACTCCTTTGGAGTGGAGCCTCTCCGTGCACCATGTAATCCTTATGTTAGGAAGGGGGACGGCAGGGACTTGGTCATTACTAACCCCCCCGACAGCCTTAAGTGCCCCCGAGGTCGGAGGGGGTTTATTTGCCGGGCTGGAGTTTGAGGCAAGTACCCAACTGTTGCCACCCTGGCAGCAGCCAGGTCACCTCCTCCTCCCCGTCGTCAGCACCCAGCAGGGCTTGGGATGAGTTTCTTAATGGTATTTTCCCTCTAAGGCATGGCTGGAGAGAACAGGATCTAGTGGAAGGGGAGGTGTGCCCCTGCCCCAGCAGGGCCTGGGCAAGGAGATGACATGGGGCACGGGGATGAAAGGGGCAGAGGAGCCTGTGTGGTGCTGAGGTAGCACTGCCGTTTCCTCCAGGGAAGAGCTGCCCCAGCAGGGCCTAGCTCCTCTGGAGCATCCTACCGAGCTCCTTGGCTTCCTGCTGCCCACAGCTGCCTTGTCCCTTGTCCCTGGAGGAGGCTGGAGGCAGGACAAGGCCTTCGCCCCACGCGCTGCCTCGCGGCGATAGGAAATCACCTCCCCACACCAGCGTGCTTCTCCCTCTGGCACCCAGTCCAGTGCCTCATGCTTCCCGCGTGCGCGTGGATGGAGGCAAACCGGGAAGGGTGGATCAGGGTTGTTTATTGATGGAGCAATTCCTTAAAAACAAAACAAAACAAACTTTTTTTTTTTTTTGGTAATAAATGCTAAATCCCATCTTTTCCAGAGGAGGGGGGTAGCTGGGCCTTGCAGGCACATTCCCCCTCCTATCCCCGAGGGCGGCCGTGCTCCCAGGCGGTGCCGGCGAACCCATCCGCACCCAGCGGCAAGGCAGAGGTGGCGGAAGAAGTAGCCCTTCTCTGTCCCAAACTGCTCCAGCAGATCCCACAAACTACACAGACCCAAGACACGCTATATTTACAGAGCACAGGTTCCCACAGCACAACGCTCCTCAGCCTAAGAGGAAGGACCCGGAGCTTGAAGGAAAAGAAATCAACCCACCAAGCAAGCAACCCGCCCCCCAGCCCGGAAAGAAAACTCGAAGGAAACACCTCAGTTTGCACTGCAATAAAAAGATAGCCCTTCTAAAGGAGTTCAATAAATAGGAGACCTAGAAAACTGATTGCTTGAGTTCAAGATATTAAAGCCAGCCCCGTGCACAAGGTTTTGCATCCGTTCTCCCCATGGGCAGCGAGGTGGTGGGAGAGCTCGGGAGGGAAATGGGGGCTGCAGCTAAGGAGAGGGGTGGCTTTTCCCCACCAGCTCCTGCTGTGCGGCGTTCCCAGGGCAAGCGAGGGCTCACGGCAAAGCTGCCCCTTGAGGGACCAGTGCTACTGGCCAAAAACGGCCCCCAGGTCACTCCCGGGTAAGCGGGACGTGGTGTCTGGGAGCACCGAAGTGAGGAGAGGCTGGTGCTGAGGGAGCAGAAGGCGCTGGGCAGCGGCGGGTCTTCCCTGGGCGGCCCCAAAGGTGCCCACACCGCGTGTGTGAGTCCTCTGTCAGCGACGGGAAAACCAGTTTCTCCTGAGACATCTTGATTTGACGGCATGGGGTTCGATACCTTGGAGAAGGGCAAAACGAGCTTGACGGCGCCTCAAGGAGCCCCATTCTTCACACAGGATGAGGACGCCGGACGCCTGGCCGGCCCACGTGGATCCTCCAGCCATGTCTCTTTCCACGGTGCCCCCAGTGGTGACTCCGCTGCAGGGAATTCAGGGTGCCAGGGACGGTCCCTGTCACAGCAAAACGGCGCTGTGGGCACTGTTCCCTGTCCCACGGTGCAAGTCCCTGCTCTTTTCTGCCTCCCAGCCATGTCCCCAGGCTTTAAAAAGCGCTGAGCATCTCCTCTTCCAAGGTCTCTTCGGTGGCTATGACATTTGCATTCACGGTAGAAGGAAAAAGTCTCGTCCTATAGCATACGTATGTGCAATATATACTTAAAATCCTTTAACACAGGGCTAGTTATCATCACCTTCCATGAGGGCAGGCCAGGGTGAGAGCCCCCGCTGCCAGCACCTGGGCCTCAAAGGTCTTGGAGTGGAGGCTGCATCAACCTGCCTCCACCTCCAGCTCCTGCGGCAAGTGGCTCTCGGCCTCTCCAAGGCGAGCGGAGCGGCCCCAGATCCTTGGCACCCCCAGTGAAAAAAAGAAAGGAGGCGGCACCCAAAAAGAGACCATCCAAAGCCCCGCACGTTCTGCACTCATCGGCTCCGCAGGTACCAGGCCCTGGTGGTGGTTCCCCCGGTGTCACAAGCTCACGGGGACGGCTTGGGCTCCCTGCTTTCGCTCTTGTCGCTTTGGGAGGGCTTTGGCTTCAGGAGGATGAACCTGTTGAGGAGGTTGGTGTCCGAGCTGGCCTGGGCGCCCGTATACGCCTCGCCTGCGGAACGAAGCACAGCTCGGTCTCACACCATGGAGCGCCCGGGGGCACGCGGGAAGCGCGCGGCGACACTCACCGGCATAGCTGGAGGACTCGGCCATGTTCTGCGAGCCCGTGATGTGGTGCCAGTAGGCGCTGCGGGGCAGCATGGTGGTGGGCGTGCAGGGGTAGGAGTAGTGCTCGGTGCCCTTGTTCAGCAGCTGCAGCACAGGGACAGGGGGCTGAGGGGGCGCTGGCGGCCACCGCGACATCCCAAAAGGGCCCCCTATTTGCACAGGACCCCCCGTGCCGTTCCCTCTTGCAGGTCACCCCGAGCCGGCCAGCACCCTGTACCCCATCTCACCCTGACGTTCTTCTCCATCTCCAGCAGGACCCTCTTGTGCTGCTCTGCGATGGCCAACGTGGCGCTGTGCACGCGCTGGTAGATCTGCTCGCCCTCCTGGGTCTGGAAGGTGTAGAGGCCTTCGCCCGCGTCGCACATCCTGCGGGCCGGAGCGCGGGGCATCACGCGGGTGCCGCGTGGGCCCTCCTTGCTCCCCGCCGCGGCCTCCCAGCTGTCCCCCTGCTACTGCCATGCTCGACGCCAGGGCGAGGAGCCGGAGCCTCGCGTGGACACATGGCGCTGGGTATTGCCCGAGTCGCTGCATCGGAGCTGCCTGGTCCTGCTGCCCGAGGAATAAGCGGTGCCCTTTGCCCAGGCACCAGCTCAGAGGCCCTCGGTGAGCGACGGGAAGCGGCAGGGGGAAGACGGCGCTGGGGGGACACCGCCACCTCCCTCTGCTTTGCTCCATAAAGGAGCCTGAAGTGCTGAATCAGCGGAAGGCGAGGGCCGGGATGAAAGGGAGGCTCATGTTTCCTCCCCTCTGTAGCTGCTAATTAGCAGAAAAAGCTCCTAATAGAGCCAGGCCCCACGGAGCTGAACGGCATTAGCCCCGCGAGGGTCCCCCAAACGCCCCCGATGGCTGCGGCCATCACCCCTGGCATCGGGCCTGGCCAGTGCGCAGAGGGCTGCGTCTCACCGGCCGGCCTCGAAGGTGAAGCGGGTGGCGTCGCGCCCATAGCGCCGCAGGGAGCACAGGGGCCAGGAGAGCAGCTTGAGGCGGGGGTTGTGCACGTCCCAGAGGTAGATGTTCTCGTGGGTGATCTGCAGCCTGCACTCGCCGTAGACATCCAGGTTGGGGCAGGGGAGGAGGAACACGTTGAACCGGTCTGGAGGAAGCGTTCGGGGGGAAAAGCCGAAACAAAAGTGAGAAATGAGGGGAGCCGAGGCCGGGGTCGCGCCCCGCCGCCGGCGCTCACCCACCCGTCTGCTCGCACTGCACGCCGGGCGCCAGCAGGTCGGGCTCCCCCAGGCTGATGTCGTTGAGGCGGGCGCCCAGGCACTCCACCGACAGCGTCTTGTACCACTCCTCGGCCTCCAGCTCTGCAAGGCAGCGAGCGCGGCCGTCACGCGCGGGGCGGGCGCACGGCTGGGCTGCCCGGCGCCCCCGCCGGGGCCCCCTCGCTCACCCGAGTCGCAGGGGAATGTGCGGGCCGAGTCGTCGGGGAAGATGATGGCCAACTTTTTTTTTCTGGGACCCCTTGCTGGAGGATTTTCTGAAGACCAGCCAGCAGCGCCGGTAGATCTGCGCGGCGCGGAGCCCGCCGGGGCTGGGGGCGGCCACCAACGCGCCGGCCTCCTCACACACGCCAGCCTCCCCGTCTCAGTTTCCCCAGCTCTGAAGTGAGGTGCCCAGAGCAGGATCCAGCCCCGCTCAATGCCGCCGAGAGCAACACGTGGAACCCCCTGCCAGGCAACTATGCGCCCCTCGCGGACGCATGGCCATGCAGGGGACATGGTGACAGAGGGGACCTGGCTCAGCCCCTGTCCTAGCATGGCCCTCGAACACTGCTTCTTTGCCCCAAACACTGCTTTTTGCCCCCAAATGCCAGCGCCCCCAGGCCTGTGGTGCTGGTTCCCCCTCTGCAGCCAGCCCTCTGGATGCTCCGAGCTCAGGGGTGGCACCGGCGCAGGGAAGAGGCTGCCGGAAAAAGCAGCCTCTCCGGGGAGGCGCCGCTGCACAAAGCTGGAGGAGGGGGGAGCATGGGCTGGCTCTGGCAAAACCGGGAGCAACCCACAGAGCCGGCGGCCGCGCGCCCCCGTCCCCCTCCCCGTCCCCCGCGCTTACCCCCAGCTTCCTGCTCTTCCTTT